CAAACAGACGGAAATTATAACATGCGAAGTAATAAACAGATGAAGGTTGGCGGAAGTATTGAAGACTTCAGAGATGATAAAGTGTCTAAACCTGAACCAATGTAATAGATTTTGATTGATATTGCCAATCATTGATTCCTGTCGTTTCTATAATATCATCATCTAAGCAGTCTAAGACACCGCTCATACCAACATCTACAGACTTCGTGGGCTATTGTCCCATCTTGATTTGATCACTCGTAGCTTTTTCTCAACCTCAGGTTGCTTCAGCTAGCATCGAACAAGAAGATAGGTGTTAACTTGTTATTGCATAAGATACATTGAAGGCACGTTATTTTCTGCAGTCTCACAAATGACTTACCTTCCTTTTCTGTTACTTTACGTCTAACTTCAGGATTCCTAACATGGTGATTCCATCATCGCGAACCAATGCTAGATGAACACATGGAAAAACTTTTGACCTCCTTATATCTTCGACTTAATGCAGAGCAAGAGAAAAAGGAGGATTTCTACAGACAACTTCAATCAACACTGGACAAGACGTCAGTTGGCGATATCAAAATTCTAATGGGCGACATGAATGCCAAACTGGGAGGGGACAACACAGGAAGAGAACTAACCATGGGTCGAGAGGCACTAGGTGAAATGAATGAGAATGGAGAATTGCTTGCAGAATTCTGCGCATTCAACGATTTGGTGATTGCAGTGAGGCAGTGTGTTCAGGCACAAAGATATCCACAAAGCGACATGGATTTCACCAGATGGACACACTAAAAATCAAATCGACTTTATCTCAATCTCAAGAAAATGGAGACGCAGTCTACTTGACACAAGGTGAAGAAGAGGAGCAGATGTAGGCTCAGACCACTATCTAGTGCAAGGAACCTTCCAAATCAAGTTGAAAGCCTTCAAGGAAGCTGGTGATAGACCTCAATTCAAGTACAACACTCGGAAACTGAAGGATGAAACTACAAAGGAGATCTTCAAGGCAGCCATCAAGACAAAATGGGAGACATCGAGCAACATCCCTGAAGAAACCTGTGTGGAAGAACACTGGAAGTCTTTGAAAGAGATGTGGAAAGAAACCTGCACAGCCGTATTAGGAAGGAAGAAGACAGAAGACAAGGAATGGATCTCGACAGATACCTGGAAGCTGATAGAGGGGAGGAGGATGGTGAAGCAGAAGATAAACCAGTGCATGGATGCTCAACGACAAGAGGAACTGAGCACAATGTATAAAACACTGAGCAAAGAAGTGAAGAAGAGTGCATGGAAGGACAAAAGACACATCTAGGAAACACTGACAAGTGAAGCAGAACAGGCTGCAGGTAAGAGAGACCTGAGGACATTGTATCAAATAACCAGGTTGCTATCAGGGAAGAGACCAACACAGATGAAACCAATAAAAGATGAAGAAGGAAATTTAATTACAAAAGAAGAGAAACAGAGGAAACGATGGGCCGACCACTTCAAGAAGCTCTTGAATCGCACCACCACCTGCACTTCGTCCAGAAATACCACCTGCAGCCGCTGAACTACAAGTGAACATTAATCCCCCAACGAAAATGGAAGTCCTGAACGCCATAAAGCTACTGAAATGCGGGAAAGCAGCAGGACCAGATGGAATACCGCCAGAAGCACTGAAAACAGATGCAGAGACAACAGCGGCCATGCTCACACCACTATTGCAGAAGGTGTGGAAGGAAGAGAAGGTACCTGACGATTGGAAGAAGGGTTACCTTGTCAAACTGCCGAAGAAGGGAGACCTCAGTGCTTGCAAGAACTGGCGCGGAATCACTCTCCTGTCCACCCCAAGTAAAATATTAAGCCGCATCATCCTGGAGAGGCTTAAAGACGCACTGGATTCAAAACTACGACCGGAACAGGCAGGCTTCAGGAGGTACAAATCATGTGCAGACCAAATTGCAACGCTTCGTATCATCATAGAACAGAGCATAGAATGGCAATCATTTCTCCACCTCAACTTCATCGACTTTGAGAAGGCCTTTGACAGCGTCGACCGAGAAGTAATTTGGAAACTGCTTCAATACTACGGAGTACCGCAAACCTTTATCCGCCTCATTCAACAACTATATGAAGATGCTACATGCCAAGTAATCCACAATGGGAAGCTCAGTGATGCCTTTGAAGTGAAGACAGGAGTGAAACAAGGTTGCCTACTATCACCCATGATATTCTTGATTGTGGTGGACTGGATCATGCAGCAAACAGTAGGCAGCGAGAAGAGGGGGATACACTGGACGACGGAAAAGAACCTAGAAGACTTGGATTTCGCCGATGACTTATGCCTAATGTCACATAAACTTGAAGATCTGCAGGCAAAAACTAACAAGTTGATAGAAGAGGCAGCGAAGACGGGACTTCAGGTGAATATAGAGAAGACAGAAGTGATGAAGATACCGCACCACCACCATCAACAACAACAACAACAAACTCCAATCACCGTCAACGGGAGAAACTTAAAGGAAGTAACCTCCTTCACTTATCTAGGAAGCACTGTTTCAACTACAGGCGGAACGGACGAGGACGTCAAAGTCAGAATCGGAAAAGCAAGACAGGCGTTCATTAGCCTGAAACCAGTGTGGAGATCTTCTGCACTCCACTCAGCATGCGGAACAAGATACGGATTTTCAACACCAACGTCAAGTCAGTGCTCTTGTATGGCTCAGAGACTTGGTGCGCCACGAAAGGTATTTCCAATAAACTACAGACATTCATCAACAACTGCTTACGCTCGCTGCTGAAGATCAGATGGCCAGAAAAAATAAGCAACAAGGAACTCTGGGAACGAACCAACCAAGAACCTATCACGCAACAAATATGCAGGAAGAAGTGGAGATGGATTGGCCATGCACTGAGAAGGCCGACGGAGGACATCACGCGTCAGGCCACACCCTTGAGTGGAATCCCCATGGGAAGCGACGAGTTGGACGTCCGAGGGTGACATGGAGGAGGTCGTGCGAGCAGGAAATGAGAGCTTCTGGGCTGTCGTGGGACCAGGTTCAAAAGATCTCAGAGAACAGAGGTCACTGGAGGCGTGCTACTGAAGCCCTATGTTCCATTAGGAACCCAAGGGACTAATAATAATAATAATAATATCTTCGACATTCGAGGGTTGTGATTCATAACTGTCTAATAGGACATAGATAACAGCAGAGAAACATATCCATCCTTCGGTGCATAGTCAAATATCTTATCAACTTCATGATTGATGTTGAATGGTTCTAATGCATCTGAACTGAAATTTTGTCAGTGTACAAGTGATTTGCCTGATAAATGAATTCATGAATACATTTATCATCGTAAAAAAGGACATCCCAAGATTTATTTCGTAATCAGTCTATATTGATAACAGGAATGCAACGAAGGAAGGGAATATTCTGGAAACCATATAACATTGTTATCTAACTATTACAAAAACGTCAGTAGATCAGTTATATACTGTGTAGATCGTATACATAGTCAAGTTTCTCTCTAAAGTATTTTTACTCACTGCTATTTTGACTGACGTCAATCGGCTACTTTGACCTATGTACATGACCTCATCAATATATGGTGATATTTAATAGACTAGGTAATGAAATAGTAGAGAATATTTGAAAGAAGCCAAATTGGAAACGATAAGCTGAACGTCCGAGATGAGGTTAACATGAAGGAGATGGTATATCAAGAAGAAATGAAAGCTTGTGGACGTTGATGAAGCCAAGTTGAATGGATTGCAGAGAATAGAGTGGAATGGAGACATACTACTGAAGCCCTATATAAATACTTGAAGAATCGATAAGAAACTTGTAGGAAATGAAACCAAGTAATGCTTTAAATTCATATTAACCAATTTACACTGTTTATATACACATGTATGCCTGTTTATTTACTGAAATATTATATATATATATATATATATATATATATATAATTATTATTATTAACTATATTATTATTATATTATTATTTTGATTATATTATTATTATTAGTCCCTTGGGTTCCTAGTGGAACATAGGGCTTTACTAGCACGTCTCTAGTGACATTTGTTCTCTAAGATCTTTTGAACCTGGTTCCACGACAGCCCACAAGCTCTCATTCCCTCTTCGCACGACCTCCTCCATCTCACCCTCACCTCGGACACCCAACTCGTCGCTTCCCATGGGGATTCCACTCGAGGGCCCGATGCGTGATGTCCCCAGTCGGCCTTCTCAGTGCATGGCCAATCCATCTCCACTTCTTCCTGCATATTTGTTACGCGATAGCTTCTTGGTTGCTTCGTTCCCAGAGTTCCTTGTTGCTTATTCTCATTATTCTGGCCATCCATCTGATCTTCAGTAGCGAGTGAGCATAAGCAGTTGTTGATGAATGTCTGTAGTTTATTGGAAATCCCTTTCGTAACGCCCAAAGTCTCTCAACCATCACACAGAATCACTGATTTGACTAGGTTGGTGTTGAAAATTCGCATCTTGTTCCACATGCTGAGTGCAGTGCAGTGCAGTGCAGTAGATCTCCACACTGGTTTCAGGTTAATGAACGCCTGTCTTGCTTTTCCGATTCTGACTGGTTTTGACATCCTCATCTGTGCCTGTGTCACTTGTAGTTGAAACAGTGATGCTTAGATAGGTGAAGGAGGTTAATTCCTTTAAGTTTCTCCCGTTGCTGGTGATTGGAGTTTGTTGTTGTTGTTGGAGTTGTTGGTGCGGTATCTTCATCACATCTCTCTGTCTTCTCTATATTCACTTGAAGTCCCGTTTTCGCTGCCTCACCGCTTCTGCCAACTTGTTAGTTTTTGCCTATAGATCTTCAAGTTTATGTGACATCAGGCACAAGTCATCGGTGAAATCCAAGTCTTCTAGGTTTTTTCCGCAGTCCAGTGTATCCCCATCTTCTCTCTGCCCACTGTTTCCTGCATTACTATTTTTATTATCATTATTTTATTTTATATTATCATTATTATATTTTTATATTATATTATTATTATTATATTATTTTTTCATATTATCATCACATTTCGATGAATAAATCGTAGAAGTGAGTTAGGAAATGTTTCTTTAAGAAAATTTATACATTTTTTCAATTGATTTTCATTCAATGAATATATATGACATTGATATATAATTTTCCATCGATGAATTATTCCATTTGTTATATATTCAGGTATATTGAATGGTCCATTGATTTGTATTTCACAAGCATTTTTCATACTTACAGATTTTATTCGTCTATCTCTACTATTCAAATAACTTTTAATCAGATCATCATATTGATTTAACTCAAAAATTTCTTCATACATATAAGTAAATCGTTGATCCCTATCATAATCTGAAGAGTAGATATTATTCTCTGGAATTATATACAATTTATCTTTATATCTAATTGGAATGTTTCGTGTTATCTTCTGTAAATGATTGTCTTTTATTTCAATAGTATCTAAACATGATGAATAAATGAAGGGCTTCAATTTTTTTCTATCTATTAGTGTAGATGATCTACATTGAAGAAGATGATTTATTGTCTTGTTACAATGAACCATCTTCAATACTGGTTCAGTATCATCATTCTTTGAACATTGAATATTTTCAAATTTAAGTGTATTATACATATAATTTTGTTTATTTTTTAATGAATAATACTTCGATTGTCTAACACCTTCATTATATGTTTGTATAGAATCTAATCTTGGGAAATAATTGTTAAGTTTATCTATAGTTGTTATTCTTTTCCTTGTTGTTCATTACTTTGTGATACACCTGATATATCTTTCAAATTAACTTGAGACTGAGACATTTTCAAAGAGGATAATATTAATGATGAGCTAGTCGATAAAGAATTTTTATATTCTCTTGTCTCTTCCAAGATAACTAAGTCTCCTTTATCTGGTGGTTTTATATGTTGACTTCTTGAGCAAGTATACAAAGAATTTGACTCATTATTGTCTTCATTATCTTTCCATATAGTTTTCTGCATTGGTATCGTCTTTCGATTTGTTGAATAAGCTACTTGTTCTAGTAGCCAGTTGTGTAATATATCATGTTTTTCATTTTCAGTAGTCATTTGAAATAGATTATCAATTAAGGAAGTTGTTAGACTGTGTTGTTGAGTATTATGTAGCTGAATTTCTTGATTTACATTGGAATCCAGAGGTTTTTTCCCATTACAAATTGTATCATGATTCGATGTATACAAAGAAAACTGTGGATTTGTTTCTTGTTTACTTCTACTAGCATGTTTAACATGAACAAGTTGATCCTTATTCACTTGTTCTTCTGTTTCCTCTCTGTTCTTTATACGTTCTTGTGTACACTTGTAAACTGATCCTTGGTAATTAGAATTAGTAGATGGAACTATTTCACAAACTGAACAGTAAGAACAAGATCTTCTGGAATGATTACAATTAAGTTTTGAATATTTAATCTGACTAATGGTACTGTTGACCTGGCAAGGTACTTCACAAACACTTTCAGTTGAATATTCTTTGTTCAAAGTGTTATTTTCGACTCCATTATTAATTCTTGGATGATTCCGTTTCGACAGATAGTCAGATTGACAGTAATTTTTACTTTCTGTAATTGTATCAAGAGAATTATGCTTATCACAATGTAGACTGTTGCAGTATGTCATATTGTTGTCTTGATGATCAGAACTCCTTTTCTTGTAAGCACTAAGATTGGGTGTTTTCTTGATAGAAAGTGAAAGATAGACACTTTGTCGGTCATTTGATTCATGCTGATTATTATCTGCAGACGTAGGACTTGTAGTCCCTCAACGAATACAACTTTATCAAACTCATCTGAGATAAAATCTTCGCCATCATTCTTATCCATAGGAAACAAATCAGTAGACGGATTCTTAACAACATTAGCATGTAACATTTCAGATCTAGTTAGGCAATCATTTTCATGTATATTAGAGGCAAAGTTTTGATACAAAGGGAATTCAACAGAGATGTTCTCATAGATTATCGGTTCATGCTTATTCACAGACTCCTTATCTAAATTATCACCCATACCTTTTTGAGTTTCTATAAAACCATTTGAAATTTCAGTAAACTGTTTCGGAATTTTATACTTTGTTTGTAAAACAGGTTGAAAGTTATTTATTTGTTTTGTATATAATTCTGAGTATGGTATATTCTGTTGAATTAAATCACGACGACTACTTTTATTTTCTTCATGTTGTGTTAAAAAGGATGAGTATTCATTCTTCAGGTTTAGTGAACTCTTCGATATGCTGTTCACATTTCCTATTTTATTGTTCACTGCCTTATTATTGGTGTATTGAGGAAATTTCCTGAGATCAGGTGGATTGGGTATATTTTGTTCGGTCAAAATGACATGACTTATCGGAGCATGAACTACAGGTACAGCATAATCGTTTGAAGTATTTTCTTCAATTGATGCTTGCGTAGAAGTAGATATCGTTGTTTCTGTGTTCCAGTGTTCACAACCACTAATCAATGGTAATTCGGATACCTTATTACCATCTTCTAGTGATAACGAACTTCTATTCAAAAGGCTAAGTAGACATAAATATTTTAATTCCTATAAAAAATTTTTTTGGGGACAATACAAAAATATGCCCAATTAGTCATTTTGACGGGGAAGATGGGTAGCTTTGAATGATAAATAGTGTGAAGTAATTACCAACTGTCTACTTCTCTTGTTTAGGCTTAAACTGATCACTGATGTGTTAAGTAGTTGAAAGCAGTCAACATTTGAAGCTCGTTATTTAGTGTTGCTGATTGTCAGCACTCGCTTACAAGGCATACTTATGATCTTAAGGAAACTGTTTTCCATCCAGAGATCTAGACTGGCTAAAAAGTCCGGTAAACAGTTACAAATTACTGAGGTAACTAGATTACAGATGTCCTGCAACACGATAGATTCATATCAACTGATAAAAACACACTGGTCACTAGAAATATTCCCTTCAGGAAGTCAAATCATATGAACGACACTACTTCTAGTTTTCTACCTGATGAAGATATTTACAGATCATGAAAAACTAACAGTCCAAGATGAGAATAACACACCTAAGTGATAAACACTGCAGAAAACACACCAAGACTAGCATGATTTGATGAGAACCTCCCTATATCAGTAAAATCATAAATTTTCGTATGAAAATACTTGAAGATCGCACGTTTCGTGAAATCATCCGTTGCCTCTTGGTGATAAGTACCAATAAGTGTGAAAATTAAGTCAAGTATACCAAGTATTTCAGTTTCTCTAAGAGCTGTTATATATTTGACCTACCATGGTGCATCTAGACCTAATGAAGTAACCTGTTTAACAAATAAATTGATTCCTATCGAGAATATCTTAAGTAAACACTATGGTTATTATATACTGCCTTGAAATTAAGTAGCTTTGGAACTGATTTTATTGATGACTATACACTGATTATTAATTCTTGGTTATAAATTTCTCCTTTTTCAGGTAAATGCCATGAATTGCGATTTGTCGTTGGTACCCTTTTTTCCCTGCTAACGAATAGACCACCGAATATCGCTAAAATGCAAAATTGCCCTGCATAAAATTAACCTTTGTGATTGTACTGAAACTAGGAAAAGCTGTATTCTAATCTTATCATCGGAGACATATTTTTATTAGCTGTATATGTTGGCACAATACAGACTCTTCTGAACACCCTTAATGGTAGTTTGAGTAGGTTAGGATACGTTTTCTATCATCAACATGTAAATTATAACTCCTGCATCAATCTTCTCTAACAAGGAGATGTGGTGCAGTCGAAACCAATGATCACTTCGAATTATCCCTGGTGGGTCAGAGACTAACAATCTCTCTGTAGGAATGCAGAAAGCTCACCCGGTTTTCGCTCAACGTGACTGCTCACATGACCATTAAAGATAGAAGACATAAGAAGGGTTTAAGCATTCTACCACTGTTGTCTTCTTAGCAATAGTTAAGTGTCTTAGAACAGCCGCATAAGTTACTTAGAAGCCGAGCGTAGAGTTATCGGGAAAGGAGATTGTGAATGTTTATCAGTTCAGATGGCTGGGACATATGTTACGTATACCCAGTTATCATCAATCCTATCGCACGACTTTTCCTGACAAATTTTTAATCTGTAAAAGGTATGTCAGTTTGAGCCATGTAGCGGTATGTATACCTCTTAGTCGAGTCAACATGACACCAAAATATATACTTGGAGATTGTGGAAGATATGGCTCAGAATTGACGTGAGTGATGTTGGTGAATCCAAATACTACCTTCTTATTGATCGATACAATGAATTTCTTAACTGTTTCATTCTTGAAGACTTTTGAGCACTTTTTATATGATTTCTTGTAAAAGATCCCTCCAAGTACAAAGATAAAATGATTGGTTATATCCTTGGTTTTTCTTTGAAATGAACACCACCAGAAGTGAGTTTTTAATCTTTCCTATCATATATATACGTTATATAGAAGTGGACTTTTTAGTAAGTAAACGTAAATTTCTATCTCTCGGATGCACAACTTGAGTTGCAGAGGTTCTTAACTGTTTGAATGAACCCGCATCACCAAACTTATGCTCACATTTCTGTTGAATTTTCATTGTGAACCGGACGGTAATCCATAACCAGTTAGCTATTTCAAAGTATTGCCTTGAATACTGTTGTTAACAATATCATTTAGATGTGATGACCATTTCTTCCGAAAATATTGTTCTGGAAGTGACTTTGATGAGAATTCCACATACATATTGTTTGGAATAAGGTGATTATTGTTGTTGTTATTAGGATCGTGCGATCAATCTATCAACTCTTTGACACAATTTTTGGAAAAGATCAGGCTTATTCATATTCACAACGACGAGTTGATGGTGTTTTTTGACGTTACAGCTCCATATATCTCTACTGAATCGAAATTAGCTAAGGATACAATAACTCTTATCCTCACCAATGAGTCATACTTCATGAATTACAAACAATTACTACGTTCAATTTTGGTAACAAAAGCTGTTTTCAGATGAGATTGAAACTCTAGAAACAGACATTAAGAACGTTAATGTGATCCCCTAAATCAAAAGTAATTGCAGAAAAAGTAATACGAAGCTTGGAAACTGTTGTATTACTATTTATCAAACCAAAACTTTGGACCTGATATGTAAATGACACTTTCATCATCATTCAAAGAAACAAACTGTTAAACAGTGGAATCCATGATGCTCATTTCGTCCTACTTGGGACAGGTCAGCTGGATGTACCTGCACCCCAGTGCCCAGTGATGTTATTCCCGTGAAGATTCGGACTCGGAAGCGATCACTCCAAACGACAGGGCGTTATCCACTACACCACAGAGCTACGATAGCCACTTCTTGCGCGACGGGTATAGTTTTTAGGATATATAATGTTTTTTATATGATATCGTCGTTGATTGGATCAAATTGATCGGTCTCTGTTGGCGTATGGGATCCTGTGCGGATGCCTCGATATTACGTGTGCTCCTATGATAGTAATGATGGATAGTGGCTGGCAACGGAATCTAGGATCCGCATTTCGTCTTATTTGGGACTCGTCAGATGTATGTGCCTGCTTCCCGGTGAGTGATGTTGTTCCCACCGAGTCCCAAAGAAGACGAAATGCGGATCCTGGATTCCACTGCAAGCCACTTTCCATCATTACTATCATAAGAGCACATGTAATATCGACGTATCGGTACAGGAGCCCATGTGCCAATAGAGACCGATCAATTCGATCCAATCAACGACGGTATCATATAAAAACAATTATATGTACTAAAAACTGGTAAACCTTTACAAACTAATCAACAACTATTTCGATGACATCACATTCAAAGCTGAAGAGGTGCTCTGATCACCTGAACGGATCCGGGATAATCGAAAACTGGAATATGTAGGAAAGCAACTGATACGGCTCAACTACAGTAGTAAAAACGCAACAGTACGTAAAACTAGTTGTATAAAAACAAACTATGCCAGGGAAGCTTTAGAAATGTAGGTCATTCAGTGGTCAACAGATTTGTTGATTTTAACCAACACTACCAACCAACAAGAAACAACAAGCAGGTCAAAGTTCATGTCGACAGGACAGACAATTGAAATATATATGGAGACAATGATACTATCTTAGCAGAAACCACCAACTCCACCCAAGGTCATCAGAACCACCTACTAAGTCACTTGTGGAGAAAGTCCCATAACTCACTTCTTTATGAAGTTTATACTGATGATTTTGTCAAGAATGACAGTGACAGCTTCACGAATAAACTATCCAGTTCAAAGAACATCGAAAAGAAGACTTCGTTTCAATGTTATCAATATCAAAATTATAACTAGTCACTTGAAAGTTAGTTGTGGCAAACAGTACCCAAAAGGAAATATGTCTTTGGATTTCTATGGCTAGAATTTTGTAGTAATCTAGATGAGGTGACAACGGTGACAACAGCATTCATTTCCTGTTGATACTGACCATAATGCATAGTAGGGATTTATGAGTTGTGTAAGAGATATACAAGTGAGGAAGTGATGATAACTACTAAAGTAATTACCTGGAGTTGGAAAGCTGTTTGAATCTCTACATCCCTGAATACCTTTATTTCTTCAAGTAATTCTGACTGTGTACCTCTAGACTTCTTATTAAAATCACAACAGTCTTTCAAATCTTTCAAAGATGTCTTTTCAAATTTCAACAATTGAGCTTGTGTTGTAATCCTTGTCCCAACCTTTTCATTATCACTTTTATTGGAATTCATATCGCTACTTTCTAATTTAGACTTAGAATCTACTCCCAAGTTTCTTGAACTATTGACTTCATCTCTTTTTTCAGATGAACAGATAGGCGATATGTACTTTGGAATAACTGTTTGATTAGTTGATACAAACAACTGTGCTTCATTGTTATTCAAGTAAGCTATTGACTCATGACCTTTTATCCCCACTAAGAAATCATAATTTGAGTCAATTTCAGTGTAATCAAACAATTTTTGACTTATTGTTGTGTAATTCCATTCATTCTGTAATGAATTATCTCCATTATTTTGTTTTTTATCATAGTTACAATTGAACAATAATGATCTAATATTTTCATAATCATTTATTCTAGTTTCATGAATAGATTGTTTATATGAATCATTATTCCATATTGTATTGAATGCCTCTTTACTAATTATCTTACATGGTACAGCTTTTACACATAAAGTTTCCTCTTGAATATAATCATCTGAACAGGATGTTGATGTTTCACCACCTTGTAAATTAATTGTAATTTCAGTTATATATCGTTTCTTGGAATCATCTCTTCGAGATATACTTTCAATACTGGAAAGTTTATCATTATTTACTAGAGATGAATAGTTATAGCATTTCGACTGTTGTTTAACTTGTAAATTTTCACTATTACAATTAGATATACAACCTAGAACAGAATCTTGAACATCTCCTATAGTAGATGTTGTTAAAGAACTCTGAACTAATAGTTTTGAGTTGATTATTTGATTACCTTGGGAATTTTGAGTATTTTCAAATGTTTGCATTTTATCACTATTGAAAAAATGATTATTATCATGTGTAATATATTCTTTCAATGGATAAACTTCAGATTTGACTCCTTGTATGATTGATTCAAAGGAGTTGTTTTGAAGTTTAGGATCGATTGATTCTGTTCTCAAATAACAATACATGATACATTAGTATTAGTATTACTATTCATTTGATCAAGCCAAGTTTCATTCAGTCAGCTTCTTTTATAGTTAGAAATGTTTTACATTCTGTATGTTTGTATTTTAGTCAAAATGTTTCTTTCAGATTATATACATAGATATTTCTTTATCATTGATTTCTGTTAAATGACTTGAAATATGATAACTTTTACTTAATTCCTTGAATATTATGAAATAAGATCCATTTTCCAACCATTTCTATCTTTCTTGTAAATGAATTAACTAATCCAAATAAATAAAATAAAAGGCATATAATTATGCGTACTTACTGTAAAGTTATATATAAAGCCTGAATTAAATGACACAATTAAAAATCAATATCGAAGTGAATCGATCAATAAAAAGTGTATGAACGTGATCATGTATATCATATAATATTGACACTGACGTAATCTATCAACCAATAAGAAGTGAGATGAAGGTCAATTTCAGGTCATTAAGATAACCAATCAAAATAAACATTGAGATAATGATAAGACTTTGACAAAAACGACCAATCATATACAAGGCCATCAAGACAAACTACTAGATAAATTGCAAAGAAAACCTTATCACTCATTTCTTTATGAAGTTTATGTTGATAATGTTATCTAGGATGACAGCGAAAGCTCCACGACTAAACAATCCCGTCAAATATATATATATATATATATAGAAGTAGTATTCATCATGGACTGACATCATTTGAGGAACCATTGAAAATCTGGGAGCACTGGACACGTGTTTGGTCGTAGTATGGGACTTCTGAGCAGTAGACACCCACAACCCGGCTAGGGATGGAACTCACAACCTTCAGGTTTCACGGTGACCACGTCAACCACTCAGCCAAGATTGTCACCCAAGGTTTTCAGGTCTTCTGTCGTGAATTGATAGATGTTGAAAATTGTGAACCACTGGAAACCGACCGAGTGGCTGAATGGTTAACGCGTTCGGTGTGAAACCTGAAGGTCTTGAGTTGCATCCCTAGCTGGTCGTGGGTGCGTACTGCTCAGGAGTCCCATACTAGTCAGACTAAACAGGTGTCGAGTGCTCTCACATTTTCAATGATTTCCCAACTGATGTCAGTCCATGAGGAATACTACTTCCAAATTAAAAACAAAACCGCATCCATCTCAAAAGAATATATATCTGTGTAACCTTCAGCGATTCACAGGTCGTACATATACCTTCATTTGAAGACATTTAATGAACATTTGGAACAGAAGTGTTGTCATCTGTTACCTGTCGATACTTGTAATTTCGCGTTATTACTTTGGAAGGAATTACTCGACCTGTGTCCGCAGGTCAGCTGCTACGTGAATGCCTTGATACTACTTCAATACTCATACTATATCTTACTTGATGGTTAACTGTATAAAGCAGGACATGTGTTCCGTCTTATTTGTGACTCCTTAGCTGGATGTACTTACAAATATGCGTTGTGAATCTCACCTTTGAGCACTAAGTAAAATGTAACATTATGAATAATCAGACAGTATCCACACTTGCCAACAGAGGTCGAGGAATTCGACCCAGTAGGGAAACGCGAAGTAAAAGCACCTTATACTGGCTTCACAAGGGTTAACTCTTGTGCCTTAATGGCCCAGTGGATAGTGCTTTGGTGTTTGAAGTAATAGGTGCTAGGTTCGAGCCACGGGGGAAAAAATACCACTCACTGGGATGCAGATGCATCCGGCTGATGTAGAATAAAGTTCCGCGTAAGTTTTTATCGTCTGGAATTTTATGGGAAGTATAAATTTTACCGAGGTTACTAAATAAACATATGCATGAAGTTTTGGTTGACAAAATTTCAGTATTCTTCACTTTGAAATGAATGTAAGTCGTCAACTATTGACTCATGTCACCTTGAGGATTTCATCAAAGCATTATACACTAACCTGTATGACTCTAGCCAATATTTGTAGATTCCACGGATTAGTGTCTCATCTTGCTCTGATGAATCTCAGCTTTGTCATTACTCTCACCTTACTTCAGTTTAAATTGCACGTGGAGGCCAGTTATAGCTCGGTATGTATAAAATACTTTGAAGACGCTTCATTTGCTGAAGCCTTACACCTTCCTCAACCGACACCTCTTTTCTCTACATGATAATTTACACCTAACCTCAAAGTTGCTCACATAGTGATCGAATCACTTGCCAGCGATCGTACGATAACATCTTTGATAAACTGTTTATCATCCATGTTTTCTTCCCATGGATCTTGTTTCATAGTTATACAGTAACAAAGAACGAACTACTGTTCAGTACAAAATGACAAATATAACTGCAATAAGACCCTACTGATTTTGTAGTACCCACGTAAAAATAAGTTGCCAACATTCAGCCAAAAGTTATCTGGTACAAAAATCTCACAAACCAGACAGTTAGAAAATCATTGTCAGTTGTTCCCTATGAAGCTTTTAAGGATTCCTTTATTGATTCCCAGTTAGTATTCATCAAGGTCTGTCATCACTTCAAGAATCACTGAAGACCTGAGAGCACTTGGAAGTTGTTCCGTCCTAGTCAGAAGTACGCACCCTACAGGGGTCGAACCTAAGACGTCTGCCTGTCGTGGTTACAACCCAACCATTGAGTCGAAGAACGGCAAAATTAGACTTGTTGTTAGTACACAGCTCTTTCAGCTGCCAGAAATTGTATAAAAATACTAGAGCAATGAAACTTGGGTGAAACTCATAGAAATGAGAAAAGTAGTAATCCCAAGAAGCCAAAAGTTATCGGAATAGAAGGAGAGAAGATAAAATAAAATTGGAAATGATCCCAAAAATTCAATGAAGATAATGTTTGACTAACTCAATGTCAATGAAATAGGTTCTGAGCCGTATGACGCAGACTTCCTAACACCAGAATTCGCTACCCCGTGGGCTACACCTGGGAACTCTTCATTTTGGCATATTTAGCAGATCGACAGTAGGAGAATTCATGAATTCATATCAAATTTTATTCCTGTCACCTCTGAATAAACTATTTGCTGCTTAGTATTGATCAGTGGTTCATAAAACTACTTGGGAGAAGGATAGGTTGATAATTCACTTACAGATAGAGGGGGCTAAAGCGATTGGTTGAAGACATCGAGGAGCCATTCAACCGACTAGCTAGCTAGTGTAACTGTAGAATTTGGGCAGTATGGTAGAATATAATGTCATATTCAATTCGTTTATGTGATTTATAACACAATGATACAGTATTACTTAAATGATGATATTTCCAGTATCTCATTCAACAACTATATGAAGAGGCCACACACAAAGTAATTCACAATGGGAAACTCAGTAACGCCTATGAAGTGAAGACAGGAGTAAAACAAGGCTATCTACTATCACCCACTATATTCCTGATTGTGGTCTACTGAACTGGATCATGCAACAAACAGTAAGGAGAGAGAGGAGGGGGATACGCTATTTGACTGGGGAAAAGATCCTAGAATATTTGGATTTCGCCAGTGATGACTTGTGTCTGATGTGTTGTGGTGCAAACTCGAAGATGTACAGGCGAAAACTAAGAAGTTGACAGAAGAGGCGAGGCAGGGCAGTGAAGACGGGACTTGAAGTGAATGTAGAGAAGACACAGGTGATGAAGATTATCAACCAACCAACCAACACCACCACCAAAAACAAGAAGCTCCAATCACCGTCAACGGGAGAAACTTGAACCTGAAGCTCGTGGTTCAATCCCTGGTGGTGCGGGGTCGTGGGTGCGCACTGCTGAGGATTCCCATACTAGTCGGACGAAACAGCTGTCCAGTGCTTTCAGGTTTCCTTTGTTCCTCCAACTTATGTCAATCTGCGATCAGTAACAACTTAGAATATTCACTTATCAATCTCTCCCCCCCCCCTCTCTCTCTCTCCCCATAATCATATTGTAGTTGAGTACAATGGCTTTATTCTATCTTATTGTGTGTGGTTATATGTTAATGCATGCATTGCAACTGGCAACATTTCACGGATATTCAAGTAGATTTAATTGGAAAACAGTTCTTGTAGATGCAGCTTTCTAGAAACTGTAAACTACCCATTGAACAATTATCCATTATAATTTACCCTAGCATCACTCAAGGTTAGATGGTAGATAAAAGGTTAAAGGTTAAACTTTTGAATTCGATGCGCGAAAGCCTGAAGACCTCTATTTCCCAACCACTGTTTATTCATGGAGAATATCTGTTTTAATGGGATGTAGTCAACAGCGTAACCATGCGTTTACATACTCACAATCACCTGCAGTTGTATCCTTTTGTTTGTATTAACAGGAGGAATTTTTATGAGTCCTTCACTGTTCCTGCCTATACATTTAACTATAAATTGACTTCGGTTGCGAAAATATGGAAAATCAGTCTATGTCTATTCAGTATATAGCTACCTACCACAGAGACCCTCTATCTATACTGCCTTGTAACAATTATCTTGTTACCTGTTTGCCTGTACTTTCAAAATCAAGTTAAATTGTGACGCAGTCATTCAGTGTTTCATGGTTTTTAATGTTTCTCCAGCTGATTTGCATCTGTTCTAAAACCATTACGAAGTCAAGCACTTTCTAACAGACTATGTAGTTATTATCATTACTAATTTATTGTAATTTATCCTTGGGTTACTAGTGGAACATAGGGATTCAGTAGAACGTCTCCATTTCACTCTCCTCTCTGCAATCCTTTGAAACTGGCGCCACGACTACCCAGAAGCTCTCATGTCTTTTTCACACACCATCTCCTCCATGTCACCTTCGTCTCAAAAGCCCAACTCGTTGTTTCCTATGCACGTTCCACTCGAGGGACTGGCCTGATGCGTGATGTCCCCGAATTGTCTTCTCACTGCATGCCCAATACAGTTCATCTCCACTTACTTCTGCATATTTGTTCAGCGTTAGTTTCTTACTTAGTTGGTTAGTTATCACCCACACTTCCTCCCTGATTATTATCATTATTCTGGCCATCTGATCTTCAGTGACGAGCCAGAGTAGAAAGTTGTTGATGAATGTCTGTAGTTTGTTGGAAATCTGTTTCGTAACGTGCAAAGTCTCTCAACCATCACATACAAGCACTGACTTGACTGACATTAGTAGTGTTGAAAATCCGTATATTGTTCACACTTTATGCTGAGTGCAGTGCAGTGCAGTAGATCTCCCCACTGGTTTCAGGTTAATGAATGCCTGTCTTGCTGTCTTTCCGATCACGACTGGCTTCGACGTTCTCGTCAGTGCCGCCGATGCCGCCTGTAGTTGAAACGATGTTGCCTCCTACGTAGGTGAAGAAGACTACTTCCCTCAGATTTCTCTCATTCATAGTGACTGGAGCTTGTTGTTGTTGTTGGTGGTGTTGGTTGGTTGGTTGATAATCTTCATCACCTGTGTCTTCTCTACATTCACTTCAAGTCCCGTCTTCACTGCCCTGCCTCGCCTCTTCTGTCAACTTCTTAGTTTTCGCCTGTACATCTTCGAGTTTGCACCACAACACATCAGACACAAGTCATCACTGGCGAAATCCAAATATTCTAGGATCTTTTCCCCAGTCAAATAGCGTATCCCCCTCCTCTCTCTCCTTACTGTTTGTTGCATGATCCAGTTCAGTAGACCACAATCAGGAATATAGTGGGTGATAGTAGATAGCCTTGTTTTACTCCTGTCTTCACTTCAAAGGCGTCACTGAGTTTCACATTGTGAATTACTTTGTGTGTGGCATCTTCATATAGTTTTTGAATGAGGTTGATAAAGGTTTGTGGTATTCCATAGTATTGGAGCAGTTGCCTGCCAAATTACTTGTCGGTCGACGCTGTCGAAGGCCTTTTCAAAGTAGATGAATTTGAGATAGAGAGCTGACTGCCATTCTATGCTCTGTTCAATGATGATGCGTAGAGTTGCGTTGCAATTTGATGAGCACATGATTTGTTATTTCTGAATACAGCCAGTTGGCGCGCAGCATAGTATGATTGTGACTTCTCTTCCTCTTTATATGAATCTTGATAGTGGAGTAGATTGGTTCCCACTGCATGAGAGCCTTCGATGCTCTCGGGGACATTATGATGGACACTCCAAAACTCAGTGTGCTCGTGGTTGTCGTCTTGGTGACCGGAGTAGATTATTGACTACCCAGTTGACAGTTTGGAGAGTCCACTTCCATTCCATCTGCTTTCACAGATTCCTAGCACTTCTATTCTTTACCTCCTCATCACTTTTGAAATCTGGGTAGCCTTGGTAGGTTCATACATGGTGTGGACATTCCATGTCCCCATCCTTACTTTTGCTTTCATTGGGAAAAGAGGAGAGACACTAGCCGAATGGCTTCCCGAAGGCTTTCACCAACTGGCGTCATTTCGTCTCTCGGATTCTAGCGGGAATAAGTTTGTTTTTGTTTTTTATATTTTCTTTGTACTTCAGAGTTTTTTTAGCGATTGGACTGGATTGGTTTTCTGGAGTAGGGTTGCTAGCCCTATGCACCAACCTTCCCTCTTTACCCGGGCTTAGGACCGAATTGTAGCTAGTGAACTAGCTAACAGGCTGTAAGTATGTTTAATTCAACACCATCAAAATGTATTAAACAACCCAGCTCAGAGAACATAATGCAATCAAGACCATTCACCTGAGCTACAAATATTCTCCATCATTTCAAAATGACGCGAGCGTAACATGCTTCACGTTGTTCAAAGATAGGAGAACTTCTTTAACAGGCAAGCTTTCATAAAAGAACAACTATTCTTTTTGTATGAGTGCCAACATCCACATGTTCTGTCGGAGAGTATCAGATACAGACCACCGATTGACTGTCCAATAGGACAGAAAATATTTGAACAAAGTGGAAGACAAATGGTACAATTGATGATCACAGATGTACATGATCGGGTCCGGAAATACCAATCAGTGATTAGTAATCAAAAGAGACAGGACAACATTGACAACTGCAACTGAAGAATCAGTTAGATGACACAAAGAACAACTGAGAAAAGTCCTCAGGAAAAACCTGCTCAAAATCTCAAAGCACCTACAACCGAGGAAACAGACGACTGTGTTGACAACTTATCAAAGCAACCACTAATAAAAATTGAAGAACTTCAAAAAGGATCGAATTACAATACAAGAGATACCTTGAAACCAGAATTATTTTCGGCATTAGAACATCAGGATTAAATGAGGTTACTCAACAATAAATACGCCAAACAATCTTACCAGTGACCAGGCAGAAGAGATACCACACTCAAGCAAATACTCAAGAACAGAAAACATTACAAAGGCTGAAAAATTAGACTACATCAAGGAGGCAGAGGATTTACTCAAATACGAAAATGGACATCAACAACTTGAAACCGAACGTATCCACAAGTTTGATAACCAGATAAATAGAACCTTGAACAAACTGTTCAAAGCGGAAAAGATAACAAAGCAAGACAAATGGCAAATGAAGTCGAATGAACTCATCGTTCCTCGGTTCTACGGCAGACCAAAACTACGCAAACCAGATATCCTTCTACGACTAACAGTCTCACTTCCGGGAACTCCATCACACAACATATCAAGAGAACTTTTGAGAAAACTGTAATACCTCGTTCAATCATGCGGACATTCCATCAAGTCACCAACAGAGTTCTTAGAAAAGATCAAAACCATTAACACAGATAACGAAGATACACACCTTTCAGAATGCACAGAACTTAAATGTTCAAGTCTGATGGAACTCATCGATCTTTGTCTGACAATATACTTCCAATCGAGTGGCAAGATATACAAATGGATGGAAGGAACTCCAATGGGGTTACCAATATCGGGACTAATTGCGGAAGCCGTAATGCAGAGACTGGAAGCCATCACTCTACCTACCGTTAGACCGGAAATCTCAGTTGGCTATGTAGACGATACTTTTGTCATCATCAAAATAGATGAGTCAGAAAACACTCACAGTTTCATCAACGATCTCTTCAATGACGTCTAATTCACAATGGAGAGGAAGTCAAACAACCAACTACCACTCCTGGATATTCTAGTCAGTAGGGAAAATGTTGGGAAGCTGGAAACACAAGTGTACAAGAAGCTAACACACACTGATCAAATCCTTAGTTACAGTAGCCACAACCCAACAACGCACAAAATCGCTTGCCTACAGACTCTATTCAAAAGAGGGAGAGCACACTGTAGTACAATAACTTCACAGAGAAACAAAGAAAAATTACTTGATATCTAGCCTAAAGGAGAACTCTATCAAAAGATGTCTACCCTGTACATTATCAACTACAAAGTCATCGACAGAAATCAACAAACGCATCATCCTACCATACATAAAGAATGTATCAGAAATCACAAGATTACTGAGAGCGCTTGGAATTGGTGTGGCCACTCATACAACAACAAATTCACTCAAAACACTATTATCCAGACCAAACGATGCAACAACCAAACAAGACAAACCCATCATCATTTACCAACTCAACTACAATAACTACAATCAACACCACACATTGGACAAAGTGCTCACCCTCTTCACCTTCGTCTACATCAACACCAATTGGCTAGTAAACTTCACACACAACATTTCATCACTCATCACTCAATCCACGTGGATAACAACTATGCATTTGAATTGAATTTCAACAATGTGGAGATGTTGAACGGTGGGAGGGAACACAAAGAATATCATCAGAGAACTCCTAGAAGCTTGGTATACACGTCAGTCAGTCAGTCAGTCAATCAGTCAGCAATCAGTAGATGTGTAGACGTAAACTGAATTTGTCAACCAATGAGAAAAATGATAAACGACAGAAAGATGAGAGGTGAAGCAGAGGAAGGAGGAGCCAACAGGAGAATCTAAACAGTGAGTCAATGACACAACAATCAAAGTAAACAATCAATCACACATAAAGTAGTTGGTCAGAGCAAGCTACTGAATCACTCACTGAGAGATAGTGACAGCTCACTTCATACAGAAGTTAGTGGTGATGATGTCACTGTGTAGAAAAATGATGAAAGCTGTATGATTAAGTAATCGAGCTCAGCGAACACAATACTATTAAGATATTAACATAATAGTGGACACAGATGGTAGATAACCTTTGGTGTTTATGTACTGTAGGTTTACTTGCTTAAGTTATACCATCCATTGAACTGAATCAGGAAGTAATCGATATAGCAAGAGATTTGAAAATTTCCCAATGAACATTTCGTGTAATAAGACACTGAATGTAGTCAAATCAGGGACAATATTTCTCAGTATATTTGCCTAAAACTTTGTTTCATTTGGATTTATATTAAGAAGAATTTTGATAAGATTCTTGGAAACCACCACCTAATATGGTAGAGATGATGGTTAGTATCTTACTCACGATTGATTATCCTCTAATGATAAGAATGAGTTTACATCTTGTACTACAACTGAAAGATGCATTTTCTTGGTTGTTTTAACTTAATTGAAGAGTATCGTAATAAGTTAATAACTTATCAGTATGGCTTTGTAAGAGATATTATTGTATACCATTTAACCAAAAGCTTAGAAGGTATCAAATGTTTACGTGAGGATTTGGAAAGTATGAAATCTCTAACTGAAGCGCCAGAATGTATGAATGCAACTCTTTATAAAGGATTTCAACAGTTTAATTGTAAAAAATGTGAATATTGATCACTTGGAAGGAACCCGAAGAAAAAGATTTAACATCAAGTACATCACAAAATAGATCATATTTCCTTCCAGTTGTTGAGGTTTACAGAGGATTATAATCTCTTACAAATACACTTCAAAGTAAGTATATTTTGACAAACTTATATTGTTATGGTTTTTTTCTTAAAGGTGTACATGTTTCCATCAACGTGAACAGAGGGTGGGAAGGTTACCTGGAACATGCAACTATGTAGGCTTCGTCAAGCCTTTTGACATGAGTATACATCCAAATACGCTACCGTGTCAGCAACTGATGTCATCCAATTCTTTGTGAATTAATCTCTGTCGGGGAGGGCCGGAAGTCTAATCTATATCATTTCATGTTTCTACAGATTGTATATAATCGCTATGATATTATTATTATTTATCATTAGTCCCTTAAGTTCATAATGGAACATACCGCTTCACTAGCACGTCTCCAGTGAATTCTGTTCTCTGAGATCTTTCGAACCTGCCTCCACAACAGCCCACAACCTCTCATTTCTTCCTCGCACGACCTCCTCCATGTCACCCCCACCTCAAACGACCAACTCGTCGCTTCCCATCTGGGTTCCACTCGAGCAACTGGCCTGACGCATGATGTCCTCAGTCGGCCTTCTCAGTGCATGCCCAATCCATCTCCACTTCCTTACAGTGCAGATTTATTGGATGATAGGTCCTTGCTTGGTTCGTTCCCAGAGCTCCTTGTTGCTTATTCTCACTATTCTGGTCATCCATCTGATCTTGAGTAGCGAGTGAGCGTAAGCAGTTGTTGATGAATGTCTGTAGTTTATTGGAAATCCCTTTCGTAACACGTCAAGTCTCTCAACCATACAGAAGCATTGACTTGACTAGGTTGGTGTTGAAAATCCGGATGTTGTTCACGCTTTATGCTGAGTGCAGTGCAGAAGATCTCCACACTGGTTTCAGGTTAATGAACGCCTGTCTTGCTTTTCCGATTCTGACTGGTTTTGACATCCTCGTCTGTGCCTGTGTCGCCTGTAGTTGAAACAGTGCTTCCTAGATAGGTGAAGGAGGTTACTTCCTGTAAGTTTCTCCCGTTGATGGTGACTGGAGTTTGTTGTTGATGTTGGAGTTGTTGCTGCGGCATCTTCATCACCTCTCTCTGTCTTCTCTGTATTCAGCTGAAGTCCCGTCTTCGCTGCCCTACCTCTTCTGCCAACTTGTTAGTTTTCGCCTGTACATCTTCAAGTTTGTGTGACAAGGCATCAGGCACAAGTCATTACTGGCGAAATCCAGATCTTCTAGGTTCTTTGTCGCAGTCCAGTGTATCCCCTCTTCTCGCTCCCCATTGTTTGCTGCATGATCCAGTCCACCACAATAAGGAACAATAATGAACCTTCTATGAATGTTTTCATACTACTTTGGATTGATAAATCTACTATTATCATTATTATTACTTGTCCCTTGGGTTCCTATTCGAACATACGGCTTCAGTGGCACGTCTCCATTTCACTCTCTTCTCTACAGTCTTTTCAAATTGGCTCGACCAATGCTCAAAACCTTTCACTTCTTCTTCATATGATCTTCTCTGTGTCACCCTTGCCTCAGACACCCAACTTGTCGTTTCTTCTTTAGATTCCACTAGAGGGCCTGACGTGACCTGGTGCGTTATGTCCCCAGTAGACCTTCTCAGTGTATATCCAATCCATCTCCACCTTCTTCGGTATATTTGTTGCATGATAGCTTCTTGCTTAATTCGGTCGTTCCCAGACTCCCTTGTTGCTAATTTCTTCTGGCCATCTGATCTTCAGTATCGAGCCAGGTTAGGCAACTGTTGATGTATAGTGTCCGCAGTTTATTGGAAATGCTTTTCGTGACATGCCAAGTCTCTGAATCATTTAGAAGCACTGACTTCACATTGGTATTGAAAATCCGGATGTTGTTCACGCTTTGTGCTGAGTGCAGTGCAGTAGATCTCCACACTGATTTCAGATTAAGAAAGGCCTGTCTTGCTGTCTTTCCTATCCTGGCTTTCGCATCCTCATCTGTTCTACCTGTGGTTGAAAGGATGATGTCTAGGTAGGTAGGTGAAAGCGAAGACTTCATTTAGGTTTCTCCCGTTGATGGTGACTGGCATTTGTTGACGTTGTTGTTGTTGGTGGTGGTTAGATATCTTCATCAGCACTGTCCTCTCTACGTTCACTTGATATCCCGTCTTCGCTACCGTGCCTCTCCTACCAACTTGTTGATTTTCGCCTGTAGATCTTCGAGTTTGTGCGATACTAGACAGAAATCATAGTTGAAATCCAAACCGTGTAGGCTCTTTTCATCTATCAAAGAGCCAGCGTATGCCCATCTTCTCACAACTCCTCACGGTTTGCCGCATGATCCAGTCGACCGCGATCAGGAAGATAGTGGGTGATAGTAGGCAGCCTTGTCTTACTCCTGTATTCATTTCAAAGGCGTCATTGAGCATTTCATTGTGAAGCACTTGGTATGTGGCGACATCATATAGCTACTGTTGAATGAGGGTGATAAACCTTTGTGATACTCAGGTGTTAAAGCAGTGTCCCAATCCAGATGTTGATCAAAAAATCATTACTGGATGCAATAGGCCTTGTGGAATCGATTCATCACAGCCGGATATTCTGAAGATCATATCAGTAACGCTACTTAATCCACACGCTCACTTGTGTACCAGAAAAACTGGAAAATCGAAATGAATAATTAAACAATACACACCAATTCTCATTCAATTGAACTAAGAAAATAAAATTCACAATGTGAAGCTCAGTGATGTTTTGAAGTGAAGACAGGAGTGAAACAAGGTTGCGGCCTACTGTCACCCATCATCTTCCTGATTCTGGTCGAATGGACTGGATCATGCAACAAACAATGGGGAGCGAGAAGAGGGGGATACACTGGACTGCGACAAAGAACCTAGAAGATCTGGATTTCGCCAGTAATGACTTGTGCCTGATGCCTTGTCACACAAACTTGAAGATGTACAGGCGAAAACTAACAAGTTGGCAGAAGAGGTAGGGCAGCGAAGACGGGACTTCAGCTGAATACAGAGAAGACAGAGAGAGGTGATGAAGATGCCGCAGCAACAACTCCAACATCAACAACAAACTCCAGTCACCATCAACGGGAGAAACTTACAGGAAGTAACCTCCTTCACCTATCTAGGAAGCACTGTTTCAACTACAGGCGACACAGGCACAGACGAGGATGTCAAAACCAGTCAGAATCGGAAAAGCAAGACAGGCGTTCATTAACCTGAAACCAGTGTGGAGATCTTCTGCACTGCACTCAGCATAAAGCGTGAACAACATCCGGATTTTCAACACCAACCTAGTCAAGTCAATGCTTCTGTATGGTTGAGAGACTTGACGTGTTACGAAAGGGATTTCCAATAAACTACAGACATTCATCAACAACTGCTTACGCTCACTCGCTACTCAAGATCAGATGGATGACCAGAATAGTGAGAATAAGCAACAAGGAGCTCTGGGAACGAACCAAGCAAGGACCTATCATCCAATAAATCTGCACTGTAAGGAAGTGGAGATGGATTGGGCATGCACTGAGAAGGCCGACTGAGGACATCATGCGTCAGGCCAGTTGCTCGAGTGGAACCCAGATGGGAAGCGACGAGTTGGTCGTTTGAGGTGGGGGTGACATGGAGGAGGTCGTGCGAGGAAGAAATGAGAGGTTGTGGGCTGTTGTGGGGCCAGGTTGAAAAGATTTCGGAGAACAGAGTGGAATGGAGACGTGCTAGTGAGCCCTATGTTCCATTAGGAACCCAAGGGACTAATAATATAATAATGATAATAGATATAATCACAGAAATAATCATCAATCTGCTTTATACTACTGACTACTTCACCAGTAGGCTAAGCATAAGAGGAAAACTTCAAAAGTGTGGTTGAATAATGTTCCGTTTTATTAGATACATAAAGTGCAATACACAGTGAAAGAACAAAATTATTTACTCGGTAACTACCTTCAAGACACAATTCATTCTACATAACCATATCAAGATAATTGCACAACATTCACACATCCTTCATGTAGTCCTCATTCCATTGACCACTATATGATATCCCTTGCAAGCTTCTCAATATATTCACAACACGTGGTAAGTCATTCCTCGTGCATACACCAGCCACTGATTCAATTCCATGTGTAGACAACACGTTTACACTGTTGAAATCAGGGGACACATATGGTTTCTTTACACATACAAATTCAGTAGTCAACCCAATCCAACCCAATACAATCCACCTGTGAAAACAAGATGACAGTTTAGATATTAGTGTCTATAGAACACTTTCACATCCAAATTGTTATTTAGACTTCACATCATCTCACCGTGTGTTAGTCAAGGTTGGCTTGGTAAGAGTTCTAAACAACACAACCAGAAAACTTACCAGTAAGACAGAAGATCAAAGACACCTTACTCATTAACAATTACCCTCCAAAATTAATTGACAAGTTCCCTAGACATCGTAGAAAATATCACTACTATTAGCAACACACCTGTTGATTACAGTGATAATGATGGTAATGATACTGTGAGGAAAGAATTCGACACCCCCATGATACTACCAAACAAGGAGGACACCTCACAGACATTAGGTTCAATTCTCAATAAAGCTGGCTAGCATTCAAGTGGCATTTAAACCAACAAACTCACTCACGAACAAGCTTTGTAGGTTACAAGATTCTACTCATTCACTTGGACAGAATAATTTTGCTCACCAACTCCCTTGCAACAGTTGTGAGGTCAGAAATAACGGTCAAAGCAGTTGACCGGGGTCAATTAGAATAACAGAGTGCAAAAGAGTCTAGCTAGGTGAAAAGTGAAAGACCTCAGTGAGACAGGAGGATTTAGAAGAAAGCTTGGCTATGACTACGCATCCAATTACACACAGTTACACAATCGGATGGGGCAGGGTGAAAATCCTTCAGACTGACATATTCATATTCCTATTCATATCAGGAGGTAACTCAAC